TCTCTCTCTCTCTCTCTCTCTCTCTCTCTCTCTCTCTCTCTCTCTCTCTTATTTTTTCTTTTCTGCATTGTTTATGCATGCTGTGTCTGCATCTCCTGCAGTAAATGCTAAAGACAGGGGAGATGATTTTCTTTAAGACATATTAAATTATGTTCATGCCAAGAAATCACTTTATGTAGGCTGGCTCAACAAAGGGCCTAGTTTACAGTTGTGGCCTGCTCTGCTTGTGTTGAGCTTTGATCCCTTTTGCAGAGGGAGTTGGGATAAAGACTAAAGGCTTTTGAGAAGTGCCAGTGGCTCGCCCTTGCAGACACTGAGGGCGAGCCGAAGTGCTCATGTGAGAAGGGTAGTTAGGAGATGGTGTTTTTGTCATCGTCTTCACACAAACAAGTTGACTCTCAGATGCAACTGGTAAGAATGCACCTCTTCATTTTTGTGCGTGTAGAATATAGCCTGTGCTTCTTCAGGTAGCTTGTTCGACGAAAAAGAAGATCCTGAAAAATAACTTTCAAATACCTTGGCATTTTGGGTGGCAGCGGTGGCTTGTGTGTGTGAATGCAGCTTTGGATCTGCAGAGCTGGTCCTTGCCTGCACGCTCCCCGCCGGGAAATCACAGACAGGGAAGCAAAGCCAAGGCTACCACTTGATTAGCAGCGTCCACTGATTGACCTCCTCATCTTGGCGATGAAGAGTTTTGATGGTAGGTGTTATCTGAAAGTTCAAGCTGTAGGCTTAAATTTTGAAGTCTTAAGGACTTGCTTCTCTCGTCTGATTTGGATGGGAGGAAATATTTTCCTGGAAAATGCCTCTGTGATTTTGGTTGTGCTTTTGCACATTTGAGAAAATACATGTAAATTCAAGAAGCTGTTTAATATCATAGCAAACTGCCAAGTCCTTAGATAGTGGTTGTGAAACTGGGGATGAGGAAGGGTTAATGAATAAAAGTTGTGTTAGTTTGCTGGCCCAAGTAAATGAAATTATAGGTGCAAGGAAAAATATTGCTGCGCATGTTTAATAGGAGATGTTTTTGCCCCTCAGAAGTGTATGCTGTATTTGTGTGCATACAGTATGTTCACGACCTGATTTGTTAGTCCGTATAATTAGCTGGCGTTGTCAAAGCATTCATGCATCTCTGTTTTCAGATGTCACTGGGAAATTTCTTATGCGAGCTGAATCTTGTCCAAATATGTCTCTTCCATAATGTTCTCCATGGGCTGTTTGACATAATCCTGTCTTTCAAAATCTGTAATGTGAAACTGTAGTTTTGACAGTACTATTTACCCTACAGTTGCACTTGATATGTGGTCCTAGAATTGTCCTTTGTCCTGTGCAGTGGGATGTTCACGTTTGGTTGTCTATTTCCTGTAAAGATTCCTCGTGCCTTGGCTGTTCATGTCACAAGTTTGAGTCTATAGGAGATTTCATCAACCAATTTATCATTGAGAGTACTTAGCTTGTGGTGTTTTTAACAAACTGTTCTCATCATTTAAAATCAGGAAATAAACAACATAATAGTGGAGCTAGCTGAGTGCTTGGTGTGCAGAATGTAGTAAGACAGGTGAGAAATGCCGTTTCTAGTGCTTCAACTGAATTAATTGCAATTCATCACATTGAGCAATGGAGCTGTACAGAGACCCGTCTGGATGCGTCCTGTCCAGGTTTGCCAGGGTTAGTGAAATCCTGCATCGGTTTGTTACCTGCTCCATAAAGCCTACCTAGGCCTTGCAGTTACTGCTTTGTGCATTCATTGTTTGTGCTTTCAGCATGTGCATAAGAAGCAAACATGCCAACGGCGTGAATGACAGCTGAGCACGAGTTGTTTGCAAGTTTCTTTCACTTCTTAATGGGAAAAAATATTTGAGCGTCTGAGCTGTGTGTTGGCGTTGGGGTATGAGTTGCGGTTCGCTTGGATCTGTGTCCAGATGTGTTTAGGAGTTCAAGTAACGCTGGGTTTTTGGTCGACTAAACTGTGGTCCCCCTGCAGCGTTTTCAAAAAGGGGAAGCGAAGATGAGAATGTGAAATGCTTTGTAGTCTGTCAAGATACTGTTGACAGTCACCGTTGTTGTACCGCTTGCCACGGACTTGTACTGTGTTGTGTGTGGTGCTACTTGGTAGTTGTCAGTTGGTTGGATTACTGGCTGTCTCAATATTGAGTCTACAGGCTGACTGAGCGTCCCGGCTACTGAACCACGTTAGCAATCAGGAAGCTGCCTCTCTGTTGGGCACCGTACAGAGAGGAGCTGCCCCTACCCATTCTCCCAAGGCTGGTCCTGCTGAGGCTGTTCAGCTTCTTAGCTGAAGCATCGAGGGCTGTCATGTTAAAATGTCTGCTCTGTTAGAGCAGATATGAAGCATGCCAGGACTTATTAGTTCTCCTGCAGCCCGAGTGTTTCGGTGCCATTATCTGGAATTACTAGGGTGCCATGTAAGGGCCCATAGAAGACTGCCGTGCTGGCTCTGGAGAGCTTGCTGTTTTTAAGGCAGATGTTTGTTCTTCATTTCTGATGCTGAGAACTAGGACATGTCTATAACCACTGTTGTCCCCACTCGGAGGGATGTGGAGTTGAATCATTGATAGACTCTTGTGTTGTGCAGCTCATATTTTGCTCTTCAGAATATAGTTGGCTCCTTTAATGTGTCACTCTTGTGTATGAAAAGAACTGCTGATGACAATTTATTCCTGATTTAGGCAAAGTGTGCTACTTCCTCCTCTAAGGAATAGAGGTTATGTGTGTTTCTGGAAGCTGAATGTGTTGTCAGATGTCTTGTGGGCCTGCAAACTTGCAGTGACAAATAGCACAGTAAGCAACACAGTCATTTCCCTGTACTGTCTCGAACCTAGTACGGTCTGTAGATTGGCTCCAGTGGGCGGAACTGCTGTTCAGCTCCTTTATCATACTTGCTCATCTTATTACTATCTTTAGCAAATAAAGCAGCCTTCAGTATAAGAAAACCTAATGTATTGGCTACTTTTTTTTTTTATGCCTTAAATGAAAGGATAAAATTACAAGTTGATTCTTGAAAATGCGATCTGGGCAGCAGATAATGTAGATGACTTGAGTGCATTGCTGTGAATGGAGTTGACTTCAAACACTTAGGAGGGCAGGGATGAAATAGAAGAATGGCAGAATAAATGTAATAAGATACGGCAGAGGAAGGCAAACTTTGAGCTAAAAGTGAACACTTCTCCGAGCAGCGTACTGATGTCATTCAGCATGTTTCTAAAATGGATATAGAGGAATGCCACTGTAGGTCACCTTCATTGTAAGCAGGGGACAAGAGGCCAAGTACAAATTCAGCAAAAGATAAGAGAAGTTTGAATAGGCTTTCTTTTGCTGCTCGCTGGAAGTGAGATGTGATTTCAATAGCAAAGCCTATTTGTTTAGCCCGCAAAGAAAGCAGAGACGTGCAACTGTTCACGACGGTGCTGAGACGTGTGCTCTGTCAGGGAAAAAGTTGCTATTTGGTCCGGTAATACGTGGTGGCTTCTCGTGTCTGGAGCTCCCTAGCACCGTCCCAGGTGTGAGGCAAGAAGTACGAGGTGTCTGAGCTACAGGTCTGGGCTGGAATGAGAAGCTGGGTGGCATCTGAGGGCTGCAGCAAACAGGTTGGCTCTAGCCATCAGGTGGCCAGGCTGGGCATGAGCCACATGGCAGATCATGAACGGGTAGGTAGGGGAAGGGAAGGGAAGGGGGAGTGCGTTAGCCTGCTGGCTGGGCTGTTGTAGGCGAGTCTGCCCTCAGGGTACGCAGTTTTACTCAGGTTGTGTTCTCTGTTAAGCAGAGCTCCAGGTCATAAACTGCCTGTGCCGCTCTTGACTTGTTCTTAATGAAAAGATTGTTAAATGTATGCCTTCGTTTGAGTATCTCACCATTTCCTGTCTTTTACTAACATGTGCCTAATGTGACTACATGGCTGTAGCTAACTTTTTCAAAAAGCTCTGCGTGCCTTTCTTGCACTCTCTATACTTTACCCTATGGCAGCGCTCCATATATAGTGTCACGGATTCCCTACTCTAGCTACCGTGATTCCATTTGTGGAAATCTAATGGAGAAGTGATGAAAAGAAAGTACTTTAAATTTGGAGTTAAATTGGGCCAACGACTAAATCTTAGGGGGAGAGACTGGGCGGCTGGCCTGGTAAACTTGTATAAGGTCCGTTCCTTGAACGAGTAGATGGCAATTTTTTTTTCTCAGAAGTGAGAGGGGAAATTGGTTTCGGGTTATTGTCTAACTACTCAGTTAAGTCAATTTTAGTCGTCTTAACTGGCTAACTTTGTAGAGCTTGCTTCTTAGGTTTAAAATGCTTGTGAGTTTTAAGGATTTTTGTTTAGTTTTGTTTTTTTCCCTCTCCCTCTTAAAAAAACACAGATACCTCCTTAAAAGGCTTGTTTGTGACAGGACAAAGCGTGGCAAACTTGGATGACTGTGAATGGTAGCTTAAAAACGGAGATTGCTGCTTGCTGCCATCTCACCTAAAACACCGCTGGCTGCTGCTTCTCCATTTCCTTCCAGTTTGCTGGGTCTCTGCGGAGGGGCGGCTGTTCCCAGTGCTGGGAACATTCCTTTCCACGCTGTCATGATGCTGCAAGTGCATACGTAGGGAAAGGAGTAAAATGCAGCTGGTTTTGTTGCTGCTGGATTACTCGTTTGATAGTAAAATCCAGGCTCTTTTGGCTACTTTGTTAGCTATTTGAGTATCTTTAAAATTTGCCTGTTGAGTAAGCTTCTATAGAGGCTGGTTTTTTGGCTGAAATCCGTTCTACTTTGAGGACACTTTTCTAATTGCTGTTGAAGTTAGGTTACTGACATGTGGTGAACTGGCTTGTGCTATGGCTGGATAGTTTCAAGAGAGAATAGCCAAGCTGCTTCACCTTACAGATGCCTCAGAGAAATGGCTAGTCTGGCTTGTGTGCGTGCTTCACGTGGCTCCCCTGTAAGAAGAGTGTTTTTAGCAAGTTTGCAAACCCTCAGTGTAATGAACAACTTGTGCTGCAGGAATGATTTGGTACCTGTAGCACGCATCAGCTGTGTCGGAGGAACATAGTTGGGACCTGTTTGTGCTGCACAGTGAAAGAGATTTTTATTAGCGGACAAATGCATTGACTCAATTTGCTGCCACGGTTCATTGTACAATTTTCACAGGCTCTAAGGAAACAGGAACTGAGGCATCCACATCAATTGGATAAGTCAGTCGTGTGACCATCCATCTCCTTACTTGGGCTGCCTAATACTTTTCTCCTCAAAATGGAGGGGAAGTTTTGAGAGTTTTTGTCCCGTGTTTTCCTGCAGAAACCTCGGTAGGGAAGAAATCATCTAAATGGAAGTCTGAGTTCTCTGTTTGAGCTTTAATACCTTCTCTGCTTTTCTCTTGGCTGAAACTTAACCTATTTTAATTGCCTCTTGTTGGAGGTGATGCTGCGAAGTCAGATATAAATCAAGATATCACTCCTCCGAGGCTGCTTTTTGTATATATCCTCAAAGGCAAAATAGAGTCCTAGAGTTCTGCTTTAGAATCAATTACTTTATTTTCCACCTAGGAGTGTCTTCAATATTAAAGTCTGCAATATAGGGAGCCACTAGATTCCCCATGAAGGTTTCTGGAGATGTTTATTTAAGTGATGGAGTGCTGAAGGACTTGAGGGTTTTTCTTTCACCTTTTCCCATCTGTTTCCCCTGGTGAAAGCTGGAACGTGTTAGCTGGCAAGACAGCAATAAGACTGTCCACGGCTGATTCTTAATTTGTAGACTTCCCCTGAAAGTGCCTGTGCAAATGCAGAGTTTCCGAACTTTGTATTGTTTGTTTATTATGATTATTATTATTATTATTTTTATTGTTTTGTAAACATTTCATTCTTCCTTAATTGTAGGTGGTGCGATTGTGTCAGAACCCGAAGCTGGCGCTGAAGAACAGCCCACCCTACATCCTGGATCTGCTGCCTGATACGTACCAGCATCTGCGAACCATCCTGTCACGCTATGAGGGGAAGATGGAAACCCTAGGAGAAAATGAGTATTTCCGAGTGTTTATGGAGAACTTGATGAAGAAAACAAAGCAGACTATCAGCCTTTTCAAGGAAGGGAAAGAGAGGATGTATGAAGAGAACTCTCAGCTTAGGTAACAGAGGAGTGTTTAAAAAGTTGAGAGATAAAAGCTTCCTTTGATGAGCAAGACCTTGAAACAGGGAATGGGTTGGAGGGTATGATGTCTGTATGCAAAACCTGAGACTGTGAGGAGAATTAATTCAGAATATGGAGCTTGCTTATGGATTTGGGCGAGTTTGTTCCTTGAATTTTTTTGGCCAGTTGCTATCACAGAGCTGTTAAGTGGATGCATCCCTGCAGCATTACACGTTAACAGTCAACGTGCTGAAAGCGTCTTCCTGTTGTGGCTAACACCAGAGCTAGGGACTTCCAAGCTGTGAGCGCTCAATGGCTTCCTTTCTTTTCTTAGGACTATAATGGCTGTTTTGTCTTTGTAACAGTGTGGTGTTGCTATATGGATCAGCTGAAATTGCTGCTGGCCTGCATAAACTCTCATACTGTGTGTTTTGTGAAGCCAACTCGGTTGTCTTACTAGGAGAGCTTTAAAGATACCATTTAACTAACTCCTTGGCTCACTTGCATATCTGCCTAAAGGTTAATCTGTTGCGGGTGCTTTTCAAGCAGTCTGTGCACACTACTTAGCTCATGAGTCCATGTAGGAACTTCCTCGGTTGCTGCTTGGAGACGATTCGAGCAAATACATATTTTTTAACTTAGTGACTTCTCGGTAGTTTTTTTATTTTAATGGACATGCTTTATTGTTTCTCCAGGTCTTGGCAACTTGAGGATTTATTTTGGCTTTTCTTGCTAATAGGCTTCTGAAAACAAATTAATTTGAGGGTGCAGTAAGCTAAACAGGTAGCACAACTATTCAGCACTTAATTATTCCGATCACTTCTTTTGTTACATGATTATGGTAAAGTAAACATAAGTCATTTGATTATCCTGGGCTGTGAGGATAAGAACACTTCAGGAACTGTTATTTCTGACCGTGTAGATCCACAGCACTTCCTAATGCAAAAAGCACTCAGGGCTGGTCATGAGAAATTAAAATAACAAATAACATGCAAGTGTAAAGTTTGTCGCCTATATAAAGTAGGGTAGTGCAATAAAAGATATTCTGTGAAATATTTTTAGCAGTTTATACCCAAAAGAGAAAGGTATACCTATTTAGCACTGAATAATTTATAGGGCTGCCTATAATGGTAAATATTTTGCTCCTCTGAGGTTGTGCTTTTTGAACCGCTTCATTTTGTTTGTTTTAAGTAACTGTAATGAACTAGTTAAGTAAGTATACTTATCTTTGCTGCAACAGGGTAGTGGTTCCATTGGTAGTGCTGTTATTAATAACAGCACAAGTGTTCTCGCTGTGCTCAACTTGCCTAACTGTTGGTTACAGTTTATTTCAGAGGCTCGCAGGTTCTGCTGTTATACTTGTTTCTGTCACAGAGGGTGTTTACTTCTTCAGGCTCTGCTCTTGCACAGAAGATCTGCCATTCATAAACTGAGACTGCTATGTAAATTACTCATTGCAGCTGTTTTCCTGCAGTTGTGGAAATAGCTTTCATTTTTGCTTAGCACCGGAGGTCAGAAAAGTAACTTGGTGATCAGCAGACAGGAAGCAGTAACTGCGTGTGTTACTTGAGAACCAAGTAATAGGGGTGAGGAGTGAGTGTTTCTCCAATAGGTCAACTTGTCGAGTGTATTAAAACAGGCTGCTAAGAGTTAAAATTCAAACTTGGTGTCTAGATAAAATTGACCTATCGCAAACGTTTCTGTACGAGAGTGCTGTGAATGTAAACTAGAGGGTGGAAGGTAGGTGAAAGGCCGAGGAGAAATAGTTCCTCGGCATGCGGGCTGGATATTTAGGAAACAGCATGAATTATTTTGCTATGTCAGCTTGGATACTAGGGAAATCAAACTTTGAATTAACTGATATCATAAACCTGTTCTTTTGAACATAAAATTCCAGTTAAGATTTGCGTAGTTGCTCTATGTTTAACTGTTGTTGTTCTGACAGATCTTAAGGGATGCTGGCTCAGCAGGATTTCATACTTGACTGCAGCTCCAATGGGAAGACTTGCTAATTTGCACAGGAAAAGGCTTCCAGTATTTTATGTCTACTGGAAATGACCAGGCATATTCTCTAAATGGAAGGAAATGCATGAAGAATGACTTGAGGAAAAGAGTTGGATTTTAAAAAGCAAGCTTAGAAATGCTTATTTCAAGCCATGAACCAGGAAAGCTGTTGGAGGCAAGAGATATTTGCTCTAAGATCTGGTAATTTGAACTTTTTGTTCCTACCGCCGTCCAACACACTCCTCTCCAGCGGTAGGGGAGGAGGAGCGGGTGGGAAGGAGGTATAAAATGGAAAAGTCACATTGTGTGTGTTTTGAGCAAGTCCTCCTTTCGTTGCTTCCTTCTAGCACAGCTAAGACTTTTTTTAGAGGGGGGTGAAAAAGAAAAAAAAACAGTTGTGAGAAGTCTACATCTGCATTTAAATTAGAACATCATAAAGAAAAGAACAGGCTCCAAAGCTGCCCACAAAGTCTGCCAGTCTCCAGAATATGAGCACTAACTAACTGCCTGTTACCAAAGGAGAAATTCATTATCATTCAAATGCTGTTGGAAAGAGGACTGAGAATTATTTCTCTTTAATTTGTCCTTAAATTGGTAGTTAAGGTGATAGTTATAGCAATCAAATAAAGCTAACGTAATTGGCCTAGACTCACATTCAGTTTAGTTTTGTTCCCATTAGAAATGGGGTCACTATCTTGAGAAGCGGTCCGTGGTCAAATGTAAGTCTTAGACCCTTGCAGCACAGTAAGGAAGTGGGAGGTTTTTTTTTGCTTTAGCCTGTTTCTTCTCAAGAGTTTGTAGCGCTACCGAGTTCTGTAGCTGCCTTATCCTGTGGACTTGATTTCTGTGTGTGGAACTGCAAGCACATAGTCCAGTCGATTGTAATTTTGTCTTGAAATGTGGATTTCTTGATGCTGGCAAAAATGCAGTTTGATCTGTATATTAAGGCCAAGCTGCCGTGTTTTGGATTGTTATTGAGTTGAAGACATGTTTTTTCTTTTTCAGCTGGAAAACAGGTAGTGTTTTGAAGTCTGAAGCTTTTCAGAACTGTAGCGTGTCCTTCTCGCACCAGGACTTGCTTCGTAATGTCTTGTTTTCAGCTTATGGATGTGATTGGAGTTTGGAATGAAACAGTGAGCCTTGAATTATGGCAAAGGAAACAAGACTCCTTGTTTCATTCTTCTCAGCCCCCTCCGAATTCTCTTGGATATCCCTACTCCCCTTGGAGTTTCCTTCCTTCTTTCCAAGGGAGGTAGAAGTCTTACCTCAATCCAAGACAGCAGTTTTGCCTTTTTCTCCCCTTTAAATGTAGGGGCTATTTGTTCTAAAGAATTACCTAAGCATGGAAGCTTAGATTCAACTGCTGAGAGTGTAGAGGGTTGAATACAGGTATGAGAGGAAGCGTTGATCTGAGCAGCAAGTTTTGCTATGCAGTCTCGAGAACCTGGTAATTAACTTGGCACAGAGGTGAGTTATATAAAGGTGATATCCTTTATCTTGCAGAACCGTTGAGAAGCTGCTGAGCTTGGTAAGGACTGTCCAGATCCTTAAGGTGGGTAGGTCGGTGTTTCTGATCAGCAAGCTGTTGCATGTAGGAAACATAGCATATTCTCTTTCTGTTTCAGATCTTCTGCATCTATTTGTGTAACTATACATATGCCATGGTTTTGTGGTGATTTCTGGTGTGCAGTGTATCTTATGTGATACCTGAAACTGGTTGGTGTGCTCTATTGCAGAGCTCTTCATATTTCGGAATATATATATTTAGCTGAAAAGCGTTAGGTTTCAGAGAGGAAACGTGGCTCGTGTGATAAGATTTGAAGCTGCGATGAAGCAAGTGGCCTCTCTGTCTTCTTGTAGCTTTAAAGTTACCTTTGGTCCCACTTGAAAATGTTTAGAATGGAAAGAGAGCCTGCTGCAGAGAAGAGAGTGTGTAAAGGAGATGAGATTAGATCGAGAATGGGCAAACTCTCTAGTCTCGTGGTTGGTGTGTTCCTATTGCAACACTGTTGCTTAAATAAGTTAAACTGAAACTGCAGGAGTTACTGTAGCGCTCTGAAGAATGAAACAGTGAAGCCCCTGGGTCTTCAGCTGGAATATACTTCTGCTGTGTGGGCTGAGCCTTGTATCAACAGGGCTGATAAACATGTTAAGTGCTCTCTTCCTTTTTTCCCAAGGTGCCTGCTGACCTAGACCACAAAATCAATGTAGCAGTGGCTGATTCTGCAAAATTGTACAGCTTAGGCAGTTACATTCCTGGTGCAAAAATGTCTAGCTGACTGTTCAGGCTGCTCTTTAACTCAACCCGTGGAAGTAGAGCAGGTTGCACAGGTGAGTGGCCCTGCCTCGCTTGGTTAGGTGACTTCTGTTGAGCCCGTAATAGTTAAGTGGAATTTCATTCGCTTCCTGTGTTGCAAGTTTTGTTGAGAGCAGTTCCGTTGCTTCTATTTTTAAAGCTGATTACTGCATGTGGAGGACTTGAGTTGCCACAGAGTTACAAAGGTCCTCTCGGGGTCTCGACACTTATTTAGCATTTCTACTTCTGTGCATGGGCTAGAAGGCTGTGCTAACATGCAGAGCATACTAAAATCTGCTCGCTGATGTGGTAGTAGGATATAAGATGCAGTTGTGCTCTCTGAAGCCAGGTGCAGCCACTTATCTGTTTGAATTAAGTAACTACTAATGCCTGGTGCACAGGCAGGAACATCTGAGAAGCTCCTTTGTGGTTTCAGAAAGGTGCATTTTGCATGCTTGCTCTTGTTTAAAAGTCTTTTTTAAAAAAATGTTATTTTTTCTCTTTGGATGTAAAGTGGTTACAGGGAAGAAATCATGGTGGAGTAGCTTTCATTTGTCAGAGCTTATTGAGGCTGCTGTTGGTTACTGTTGCAATAGAAGCCCAAGATGTGGACTTGGGGCTTGGCCTTTCTCCCTGTTTTCCACTGTTCCCCTATGAAACTGCCTCCTGCCATGAGAGCGGCCTGGGCTGTGGCTCTTGGGCTTCCTTAGAGGAGGAGGCCGCTACCCTGCAGGAGCACTCCTAGGCCCAAACAGGATTCCCTGTTTGGACACTACCTGGAAACATGTGTGCATAAGCACACCTAACAGAACTGAAGACAAGGTAAATATTGCTGTTCTTATTTGCCTCAGAAAATATTTGTTGAAATTCTCATGTTTAAGAGAATGTTTAAGTACTGAAGGAAGCTTTTTTTTTTTTTTTTTTTTTTTTTTTTCTGTCATACAGTTGTTGAGGTGTGATATACAGAAAAGTGAGCACTACCTGCTCAACTTGAAGTAATTCTGGTGGTTTTGCACTGTCTTATTGCCCCATTAGGCAGGGCCTCACTGGCAACACAGGGCTACAGCAGTGCAGAAGCTGTTCTGGAGGAAGACTGGTTGAAAAACAGCATTTCAGTGGCAGTAGCGAGTAGTACAGTGACCAAAATGTTTTACCTCTGTTCTACTGAGTGATGGTTTTGCTTCCAAGCCACCAGCTTGCTGTTCTTCCACCAAATATCCGTGGAGCTGGCCGAGAAAGGAAGTGGTGGTGGGTCAGAGTTGCTTAGGTGGACATGTTAGTGCTTTGGGGAAGGGAAGGATTTGAAACTGAGTCTTTTTCAGGAGTCTCTGACTCAGTCAATGGCTTCAGTGTTAAACCGTCAGGCGCTCACATCCTCTGCTGTGCTTTTACTTAATTTTCCATTAGGCTAGATAAGCAGACTTCTAAAAAGCGCCCTACAGTCATTCCCCCCCGTGTACTGAGACTGCACTTTTTTTGTGAGCTGCCTTTCTGGGTCATGTCCTTTCAGTTAAGCTAATGCGCAGAGCCCTCTCTTGAGTTTTGAGCAGGAAGGTTTTACAGTAGCTTGGTTGCTTTACTCTGTGTTTATTTTACCCTCTTAAATCTGTATTGTTGACTTCTGGTTTTAGCCAGTTGGGCACTGATGTTATGAAACAATTTTCTTGAAAGTGTCTTGTCATGAAGTCAGTTGAATCATGTGTAGCTCCAGTTTTGTTGGGGGGGGTGGGGGGAGCAAGGTAGAGATGCAGCTGTGTTGTTTAAATCTTGATTACCCTTGAAGATGATTTTTGTTAAAAGCTGCCTCATCTTTGAGGTAATGAACCTCAGCTGTAAGGACCCCACGTGCTCAAACGCTGCCCAAGTCAATGGGGATGGGAATAGCAAAACTCTTCTGTGAATTGCATCCCAAATGCCAAGTATGTATGATAACTTTGGAGAAGTGATGCTCTTTAGAGCTGGCCTTCTTAAGCTCTTCATTTCTTCTAGGTAATAGTCTTTGTAGCAGGCTTTTAAAAAAATAAGTTTTACAGGCTTGACAGTGTGCTCATGTCAAATTTGGGCATGAGAGCAAAATACGAGCCTATAAATCATCCAAAGGAGCAGTCTCCTTGATGTGTGAAGGACAAAACGATGTGGTGGCGGTCGGTTGGTGATGAAGTAATCAAAACATTGCAACAAAACGGGGAAAAAAACCATAGCTGACACTGGCAAAACTGGGAGTAGCATTCTAAGCTGGCTACGAGGTCAGAAAGGCCTTTTAGGCATGGGCCGCATTAGGTGCTGCGTGACTCCGTACGTGGAGCTGATGTAGGGAAGCACACGAGCGTAGCTGTCTCGAGCGGAGCCGCGGCCTCTCGCTGCGGAGGCTCCGGCTGCGAAGCCGTCGCCGCGGGAGGGCTTTGGTGCGGCCGGGGCAGGGAGCAGCCCCACCGAGCCCAGCTGCGCCAGGCCGCACACTGCGGCCACAGAGGCACTCGGGCGACCTCTCGACTTCCGCCGAGACGCGCGGAGCAAACACGGCCGCGGAGCAGGAAGGAAGCAGCGCGACCGCAGCGGCACGGAGCAGGGCAAGGCAGGACCGAGGGACGTGGCTGCTGCACCGCGGGAGGGACGTGCCTGGCCTGGGCTCATTAACGGGCGCTGGGGAGATGGTTGTGCTCCGTGCTGCTCTTGCTTTTCTCCTTTGCCCCTTCCCACCCACCAACTGAAATCATTGCCTGAGATGATAGTTCTCTTGAGCCCTGCAGGTAGCAGAGTTGGAAAGTCCGGTGCTATCGCAGCAGAGCAAGCTTGGGTGAGAGTTCAGAGCTATGGAAGAAGCTGTTAACCTGTCTGTGAACGTGGCACTGGCGGGAGGAATAATGCCTTCCTGCTACAGCTGCAGATGCCCAATTATTAAAATATTTGGTTACTGCGTAGAGCAGAAAACTTTGACTTTGTAAGAGTTCGCTTGTAAGCATGTGGCTTTTTGGCTCTCCAACAATAAGCTACGTATTTTGCAGGTATAGCAAAGTGGAAGCGAGCACTCTCCAAAACGTAAACTGGTGCTCAAAAATGGTTGCTGTTGCCCTTGGTGTTTGAACTTAAGCTCTGCTCTGAAATGCCGTGTAGTTTTTTTTTTTCCCTTTGAAGCTAATGCAGGTGCTACATCTGGGCTCCCCTGCAAGCAAGGAGGAGAGCTCCATGATGCCGCCTGCAGGCACTGGGTAACCTTTTCGAAAGCCCTTAGGACAGATGGTTACATTCCACTGAGAGTCAAGGGGATTTAGGTGCCTCAGGCAGAGATTTCCAAAGTGTGCTCAACATAGCTCTGGTACATGATCCTCGGCAGCTCCTGGTAACTGTTTCTTTTCACACTGCCTTTATGTAAAGGTCCAGGAGAAACATGGAGATTGCTGGAGCTCTGTGGCCAGAAAGGTTTGGGAATCTCTTGTCTAAGTCCCTTGTGTCTGTTGAAAATATTACCCTTTCTCTAGGACAACTTGTCTGTTTAGCTGAAGGAATGGAGATGAGGACCTTTGCTGATGATACTAAAAATAAAAGGCAACCATAACTAAGTTTTGATATGCCAGTGAAAGTGCTTGCTATAGCTGCAAGCGTTTACTTGGTTTGTAGGCATTGGAAAATGTGGTGTAACTTTTCCTGGGAAAAGTAAAGAGCACGCTCTTAGGGAGAATGTCTTTTAGCACAGGATGGGGAGCTAGTTGCTGTGTGTCAGAAGTTAAGAGGAGCAGCTTTCAAACTATTAGATTGACTTTTAGAGGTCTTCGTGCCTTTATTCACAGCCTGTGATTCAAGGTGATAGCGGTTGTATGTGCCCTCACAAGAAATATTTAGACCTCTAGTGAGTTTTAGAATCTGATTATGCTGTTGCATAGTAGATACGGTCTGGGTGATGATGTTGGACTTTTTTTTTGTGAGTTTATTTCCTCTTTCTGGATTTGCCTTAAATTACTTGCCCATGTCAAAGAGAACATGCAAATTTAATGTTGTGGAAAAACATTCTGAGAAAAGCAGACTGTATGGGTAAGTGCTGTGTGATGGATGTGTACTCAGTACGTCCTTGAAAGGTGGTCCTACATAAGATGTCTGTAGTCCGGAATCCTTTTGGAATTGCTGTAGATGCTCATTCTATTACATTCACAGCATAAAGTCACACTTGTGTTCTTTACAAGAAAACATTCTGTTTGTCATTTTTTTTTGTAGGCGTAACCTGACGAAGTTATCCCTGATATTCAGCCATATGCTGGCAGAACTCAAAGGTATTTTCCCAAGTGGCCTTTTCCAAGGAGACACATTCCGGATCACCAAGGCAGATGCTGCAGAGTTTTGGAGGAAAGCTTTCGGGGAAAAGTAAGTTTCTAACTGTGCTTATAATGAGATATGGGATGAAATTGCACACCTAGTTATGCCCTTGGAAAAAATCACCCCATCTCTGCAGTTCAGAAAGGTGTTGGTCTTGTTAATCATAGAAGCCTGTGACAGGAAAAGGTCATTTGGTCCACTCGGTGAGGTTGAGTACAGGTTGTATTTCCCAGTTCTTTGTCCTGTCTTGTTTTAAATATGTAAAGTGATGAGTGTCTCCCCACTTTCCCTAGTAGACTGCTTTACTGTCATAAAGCTTCTCTGGATTATTCAGCCGAAGTTATTCAGACAGAATTTTCCTCTCTTTAATTCCTTAACTTGTAAATCAACTTCACAAACCATGCAAAATATATGCTTTCTTCTTCCAATGGTTACTGTACCTCCAATATTAGTTCTGTGTTAGTAAGCTCTTATATTAAATTCTTTTCATCTTCTATCCAATTAGTCTTTCCAATCACTTAGTCACCTTTCTTCTGGCTTTTCTGAACTTTGGTCAGCTTGCTTAATGGCCTCGTTATGGTAGAATGAAGGAGAATGTTGAGTGCAACAGAGATTGAAGTATAAACTGTTGAAATGTTGCTTATAATATTTAAATATGGTAAAAAGCTGATGAAATGATCTTTAAAGCTGTCCACAGCAACCTCTGAGGATTAAAGTTAATTGAAGTGGGCGCTTCTTTGTATCAAATGGGATACTTCACAGGAAGAATATCATTGGTAGGTGTAAGAACAAAAAGCAGTAATATGTTTGCTTGTGAACAACACAATGGTTTGGAGCTTGGTACGGAGCTTTTATGCATCTGGTCAACTTGGTGCTTTCAAAGAAGGAATATTTTCACTTAAATCAAAGCTTGGTATTGGCTTCTGATAATCTACTTCTCCCTTCTTTAGATAATTTTTTAGTTCTTTGTGATTGGGGTGGTGGTTTTTTTTTTTTTTTTTTTTCATTTTTTAACCCGTCCAGATTTCTGCTGAAGAGTTCACTGTTAAGCCCTCCTCTACGAGCTGTGCTGTTACAAACTCCTATCACCCAAGAGCTCTGGGTACAGCCCTGGCACATGCATGTTTGCCATGGAGCTGGGCGTTGGATTGCAAAATTTTATATATGTATGGAAAACTAGCTAGTGTCCATCTGACTGTTAGTTTGCTGTGATACCAAGTAATCCTTTGCTTGTATAACATGAATAGATCTCTTGTAGCTAGCTTGGATTTTTTCCTCTCCTCTTTTATGAAGAGAAGGTCTGTACTCTCCAATGCAATACCTGTGGTAAGTATAGGCTGGTGTAAACACGCACAAACACACACATATAGGGTGGAATAGGTCTTCAGTCACGCACAATCACAGAGGCTTGCCTTTTTCCCCAGGACCATTGTTCCTTGGAAGAGCTTCCGTCAGGCCTTGCATGAAGTGCATCCGATCAGTTCGGGCCTGGAAGCCATGGCCCTGAAATCAACAATTGACCTGACGTGCAATGACTACATTTCAGTATTTGAATTTGATATCTTCACACGGCTTTTTCAGGTAAGAATTGAGGAATGTGACGCTTTAGAAAGGGCTGAAAAGTATGTATCTGAAGTGCTTCCAGTTAGACTCTTGCCCCAAGATAAACCGATTTTTCCACACTGAAATAACATGATTTAGAGTAATGGGTTTATTAATCTTGCCTCTCATCCTCTGGTGAGTTTTGGTAATACTGAGAACCACTGACAGAAGAGGTAGTCTAAATATAATTTGCAAGTGTAAGGCACATTGAGTATCCTTCTGTGAATCGGTTTTTCACTTTCAAAGGTCACTATTAGACTAACGTTCTGACACAGCCTCTGTCATCCAGGAAATATGAAGCTTAGTTTGTTAGCCTGTCTTTCCTTGTCTCCTTTTTGCCTTGTCAGATTTATTTTCTGTGGGAGGTGTTCAGGATGGAGTGTGAGCGTGGAAATTAGGATTTTGGGGCTTTTGAATTGAAGCCCAGATGTTTGTACATGTGTGTGCAGGAAATAGCTGCCTTACTGAAGGGATAAGGGATATTAATAACAGGTAAAATTCTAACCCGTGGTCATTAATAGCACTGACCTCAAAAGCACAGCTTCTGATGGTGCAACTGGCTATTTGCAATAACAAACACTTACTTCTTTGGCTCGGACTTGCCTTTTCCCAACGGATAGGGTGGGTTGTAGTTAAGATGTGTCTTGCTGAAAAGTTCCCCTGCTCGGTATTGCAGTGTATCTGATCTCATTCAGTACTTTGTCCAACTGTAGTACACAGTGAGCTGAGAGTTGCTTCACTTTCAAAGAGAAGCAAAGTTTTTGGGGACAAGTAGCATCTTCTATTAGGCAAGCTGATTCGGGTGGAAAAATCGGGTAACGTTCTAGAAACAGAAGCCCAACATGAGAATTGAAGTTATCAATTGAAAGAATTGAGGGGTGGGGGGAGGTGAGGTTGGGGAGCGGGGAGGAGGGTTGTGTGCGTCCCCAATTTTTAGGAATATTAAATGTGTAGGTACTGGTTTAGACAAGCCAGTAATCTTTGCCGCACCCAAGTGAGGCTAGGTGGTTGAGGCATAGTCACAAGCATCTTAGACACAGTGAAACTGAGACAGGGAGGAGAGGTTGCTTTCCTGAGGCCATATAGGAAGTCATTGTTGGAGATGTGACTAGTCGTGGTCCTGGACATAAACTTATTAAATTCTTATCTCTATTCCTGTCTCAGTAATGCATCATTTTCTCTGCAGAAGCAGTATGCGTTGATAGTGGTTCTTGGATTGTCTTTTTGGTGACCTCAGTGACTTCTTCCTTGCTTTTTATTAAAGGAGTTTTGATGAATGTCTGTCTGAGATGAATTCTGAGCCTGCTGCATGAGCATATTGCTCTAACTCCTCGGCTAGATTTCTGGTGGTATAAAAATCTGCTTCTTTAACTCAAGAACTGACTTGTCTGATTAAAGGGTATTTTAAGTGTTGATAGCAGTGCATAGTTAATGTGTTTCTCTGTTTCTTAGCCATGGTCCTCTCTGCTCAGGAACTGGAATAGCCTAGCGGTGACTCATCCTGGTTATATGGCATTCCTAACGTATGATGAGGTAAAAGCCCGGCTTCAGAAGTTCATTCACAAACCTGGCAGGTTAGTGTTTGGTTTAAGTGGCCTTTTGGGTTGCTCTTGCTAACACCTCTGATTATTTCACTGGCCTCAGCAAGGAGGTAGGGATATTCTGGCTTTGTCCTTCTTTGTCAGCAATTTAAAACATGGAGGGGAGGGGGAAACACCAAGAAAAACACCCCACAAACCCCAGCTTGCCCTGTATTCAGAGCTTAAGCTCCGTGTGGTGATATACCTTCTGCTCATACCCCCAGCTGTTAGACCAGCTCCCATGGGCATGAGTGCGAGAGACTGAGGCAAATGTTTGCCCCAGGGTGAACAGGGTAGTACCATGAATGAAGAGAAGTATTAATAGGCCTTAGAGCTTTCTGACTTACTTGCACCTGGGCAAGAGAGCTGCAGGGAGTGCAGGCCCTGTTTGCAGTGTCTCTGATGAAAGCCAGTTTCAGACATATAGCCAGGGCATCTGCCTACTGATTGTGCTGGCAGAAAGCATCAAGCTAGGTGAGGAGTTCTGCGAGGTGACCCTGCAGCTGGGGCAGGACAGGGAGGGTGTGGGACAAGATGCTCTTTCCTGGGCTAGTGGTGGATCTGAGTAGCTATTGGGCTCCTGACATCCTAGTTGTTATTTGGTCTTGTACAACAGGACTACATTTCTCTGTGTGTGTGGAAGGTCAAATGTTCACTTTGGAAGACTTTCAGAAGACCGTTAGTACCAGGGCTGGTTTTGAAAATGGAAACGTTGGGCAGTCTGTTTTGGGGGATATTTTTGTGTTTTGGTGTTTTTTTGTGTATGTATGTTTCTTGGTTTTTGTGTTTTTTCCTGGGGAGAAAGTGTGGGTTTGTTAATGGTAATTTAAAAGAAATGATAAAGAGGATACTAAGGAGATCCAGAATTTAATGTCACACAGAGGCTGCTGCTTGGATACTTTCCTTCATATCAGATTGCAGGGTCTACTTGGATCTGCTTGTGGATAAAGTGAGAAAAGCTGGTATAAGTCATCCAATTATTTTTTACTAGTTTCTATTTGTTGTCTTGAGATAGCCACACAAAGGCTGCCTACTTGATATGTGATCTTTTCTTCCTCTTCCAGTCTAAACTAAAGTTTCTTTTGCTGTGTTATTTTGCAGTTATATTTTTCGATTGAGTTGTACACGACTTGGTCAGTGGGCCATTGGTTATGTTACTGCAGATGGGAACATTCTTCAGACAATCCCCCACAACAAACCTCTTTTTCAAGCACTGATTGATGGCTTCAGGGAAGGCTTGTAAGTAGCTGTTCCAGCATCTTTTTTGTTTCCTTTCAACATTCTCTTTTGCCCCTTTTAGATGTGTTTGTTTTATCTTAATCCTGTGGTGAGGTCTTGAAATCAGTGAAATGTTAAAATAATACGTTTTCTACTTGATGGTAGAGGCAATATGTTGCAGCAGTCAAGCAACCCCTGTTGACCTCGCTAACACCCTTTTGCACACCCCTAGGTTTTTATTTCGACCTCAAATCATTAACGCACTACACCTTTCTCATTGATATCAGTAGAAGAATTTATGTGCTTAACCAGTTTGGCACTCGAGACTACTCAGACATTAGTTTTTTGCACTGCCTATCTTGATTCTCTTTTGCAATTGTAGGGAGTGTCTGTCTGCGTTTCCCTTGTCTTGACTTCTTTTCCAGTGGGGTCCTAAACCTATGTCACAACAACTGAAATTACAGTCATGGGTTTTTTTTGGATTTTTTTTTTTTTTTTGCTTTTTAATTTTGAGTCACTGTAGAATGCTTTAAAAAGAGAAGATGGGGATGATAACGTTTTGTTTAAAGAAAAAAACCGTTGCCAGGAGGAAGAAAAAAGCATCTCCTATATTGAAGAAGGCATGTTTGGTTTAGGTCTGACAAGAAAGATATTTCAGAACTTTCTTTGAATTCAGAACACCTTGAATTTTTTTCCTTTCACCCTCGTTCCTTTTTTCTCTTTCCACCACCCAAAAGGAACGTTACATGGTTGACTTTGTGTGTGATTCTTGTGCACAGGCATAGAATTTTAGCTTCTTTTTTTATTTTTCCTTCCTGAACGGCTTGCAGTTACTTATTTCCTGATGGCCGGAATCAGAATCCTGACTTGACAGGCTTGTGTGAACCCACACCTCAAGACCATATAAAAGTTACACAGGTGAGCAGAGTATTCTTTACTACCAAACTTGCTTGTTTATTTCTGATTTAAGGCCTCCTTAGCTGTTTATTCAATTCTGCCATACCAACCAGTATCCCGAAGGCTGGTTTTCAAAGCTACTGTAATTGCAATGTGTAGAAGTGGTTGAAATCTTTGAATGCTAGGACTGGGAAGAGGAGATTGCAAAGGTTAAATACAGCTTCACCTTTGTGTGGCACTGACAGACTAAGACACTTGTTTAGAATGTTGTAGCAGATATTCTTCTGTGCCATCTAGGGAGCCTGTGGACTTTGCTTCCCTAAGCTGTTTTTGGACCATCTCAATAAAAATGAAGTCTAACTTCAAATTTACTTTCGCTTCAAAGCTTGATAGATATATCCAGCACACAAAACCACAGTGGAATCTCTTCAGCCTTCTGCTCTGTTGCACTGTGTTCCTCTGTTAGGATTGTAATTGCTTTTTCCTGCAAATCTGGTGTTGCATTTCCTGTAGCTGTGACTAATCAAGCATGTTTATTTTCCAGTATCAATGGTGGTGTTTTTTCTGTCCCCTAGGAACAGTATGAATTGTATTGCGAGATGGGCTCCACATTCCAGCTGTGTAAAATCTGTGCTGAAAATGACAAGGATGTAAAGATTGAACCATGTGGCCATTTGATGTGCACCTCCTGTCTCACTGCTTGGCAGGTAAGGCATTTGCCCTCTTTTTATTCTCCCACAGTGATGCTGGTTTCTCTTCGGCAAATGTAGGCTAGATTTCTTCAGAAAACTACTTAGTTTTTTGCAGATATGAATGTTAGGTAGTGGGACAGAAAACAAGCTCATATTACAGTAATACTAGTTCTTCAGTATCAGCCTCACCTGCCCAGGCCAAGCTGGTAAGATGCCTAGCCTCTTCAGTGGGGAATAGGCAAGCTGTGAGGTCTTACCTCAAAAGTCTCCTTTTTCGACTGCAATGAGAAAATCCTCTGTGTGTAGCACAGGTTGCTTCTCTTCTGTCCTCACAGGCAAAAGGTACTTGAACGTGACTGTTGAAACCTCTTTGTATGTTAGCTGTGCCTTTCATTTCTACATCTTATTGACTCTTAAAACAAGTCTCTCCTTTTCTCTGAAGGAATCGGAAGGCCAAGGATGTCCTTTTTGCCGCTGTGAAATCAAAGGAACGGAGCCGATTGTAGTAGACCCATTTGATCCCAGAGGAGGAGGAGGATTATCGCGGCAAGGGGCAGAAGGAACTCCTTCACCCAATTATGAGGATGACGACGATGACAAAACTGATGATTCCCTCCTCATGATGAAAGAGCTAGCTGGTAGCAAAGTAAGGGTACTTGAGTGTTCGCTAGTATACGGGATTTGTTAGTGTATGGCATTTACTGAGACTGCACGTTCTGTCCTTTTTCCTGTGGTCTCAGTGCCTTGTGCACGTGAGATTTGTTGGACTTGACAGGAGAAAGAATTTCAGTCAGTATACTGACGGTGAAATAAACAGGGATTGCGCTGTAGCTGCACATGGTATGTTTAGTTAAACAATGCTGATTGTGCTCGAAAATCTGTTTTTTGTTTTTTGAGAGTCGTCGTGGAGGATGAGGGTCTCGGTCAGACCTTAGAAGAATGAAAGAGCTAACTTGGATTGGAACCTAACATCTAGGTTTATAACACTGCCTTGCGTGCCTAACAATGCTGCTCTTGATTTGTCAGCTGCAGCTTGCTCATGTCAGCAAAAATTTATCCAATTCCCCAGTGATAATATGACTGACAACAGACAGCCTTCCTAAGCTTCTGATCTCTAGCTGGATAGAGGGCAGGCTATTTTGCGGAGGAAGTAGTTTTGACTGTCCTCTTTAAATATGGTGTTTGACAAACTCATATAATAAAGGTCTGATGACTTTTTGCCATCAGTGCTACTTGCTGCCAGGAGATGTGCACAAGAGAGGCATCTGTATGGATCTGTGTGCTTTTTTTAAAAAAAACCTTACTGCTGCCTTTGCACATCCGCAATACCATTGTTCTGCTGCACGGGAAGTGATTTTTGACTAATTGTTAATAACTGAAGCCGCTCAAGTAAGCTGGAGGAAAAAACAAAAAAAACCTTCCAGTCTCTACCATTCTGTGGTTCTGGGAAACTGCTTTTCATGGCTAGAAAAATCCTCTACTCTGCCCTACCTACCACTGATCAGATTCCTCTTCAGCTCTCGCCCTGTGAAATACAAAATTATAAACTGTGTCCCTGGAGGTTGTTTTTGTATACACGGCTTGGAGAAGCAGAGCATAGTTTCCTTGATGTGACATCCTGTTGTGGTTTGCAGTAAGCTAGTGTTCTCTGTTTGCTGGCACTAGCGAGTTAAAATGTGTGTAAAGCTTTTCAAAGTTATAGGATGCTAGCCTTGAATATAAAATAATTTTTTGTGAAGAGGGGGATAATAGGCACTGTTTGCATTTGCTAGTAGGGCAAACATTTTCAGAGGCCAAAATGGAGTTTCTGGTGCATGCTGCTGACCACTGCAAGTACTGTGACAGAGCGGTAAGGCAGTTGGTATGGTGGTGACTGCGCTGAGAAGATCTCCTATAGCAGATCGTGCCCTCTGGTGTCAAAAGGGGAACAGGCTCGTTACTACTTGAGTCTTGGTAAAACAGCTGGGTGATTCTAGGCAAACAGCTTGTCTTTTATTGTGCCATTGCTAAATCTTCATTTGTAGTCACGTTCCAGAGGTGGCGCTGGATTTGATCATTTTGCCATTTTTTTTCGTTTTCAGGTCGAGCGTCCTCCTTCTCCATTCTCAGTAACTCCACAGGCCCCCTATCCGCCTGTGCCACCACGCCTGGATCTTCTGCAGCAACGGGTGTCCAACCCGCCGGGGGCTTCCAGTCCTGGTACCACTTCAAAGGTAAAACGCTTATTGCCCTTGCAGGTATTATGCTGGTGGGGCAGGAAAGAAAAGGAATGCTCTGGTCTGCCACCCTCGAATTCTGGACCTAGCCTACCCTTGCTAAGCACTGCTGCTGCTTTCCAGGCTGCTCCGGGGACCCTTCACAAGGACAAACCCTTGCCGATCCCACCAACGCTTCGAGACCTCCCACCGCCTCCCCCTCCGGACAGACCGCACGGCATCGGAACTGAGAGTCGGCCGCAGAGACGACCCCTGCCCTGCACGCCAGGAGACTGTCCCTCGAGGGACAAACTGCCCCCCGTGCCCTCCAACCGCCAGGGCGAGCTGTGGCCGTCTCGACCAATTCCCAAAGCCCCATCTGTAGCTCTCGGCCCCAGTGAGCCTTGGGCTGGGAGAGAACTGTCAAACAGGCACTCCCTTCCCTTCTCCTTGCCCTCTCAGATGGATTCCAGGGCTGACACCCATCGGCTTGGGAGCACTCTCAGCCTGGACAACCCAGTGGTGAGTAGACTTAATGGGTGAGGAGTAGGATTGGCATGGCATGTCCTTGGACTTGACATCTGCATGGGATGGTGGCCCTTTAGAAGGCAGCTGGAAAGGTACTGTTGGATGCCAGCGGAGGAGAGAAATGTGAGGAATACTTAAGGATGTACTTTTGTCCCTCTTAGGAGCAAGGCTGAAATCCCCAGTCAGCTGGGTGGTTACAGTAATGCTCTCTTTGATTCCATCCCACCATTGTTTCCTTTCAAGTTCTTCAGCTTCCTAAAATTTAAAGCACATGTCTAGCCAGAATGCCTAAGAAAAGAACACTCATGCAGTTGTTCTGTTTCCATACATGCAGACAAGTCTGCATCCTTTTCCTCTGGCACCCTGTTAAGTTCTGGCCTTTTGGTCGACGTGATCCGAGCTTGACAAAGTCACAGGAGCCTCAAAGATATGAAATTCAGGCAGTTTTTCCTGTAAATGGGCATTTTGCTAGGGGAGAAAACCTGCCTGTGGCCTCACTGAGGGAAAGCTTTCCAAAATGTGTTGTGTTTCTAAGACCTCAGAAAATCACATAGGAATAAATGAAATGGATACCAGAGGGAAGATGCTTCTTCTGTAGGATATGTTGAATACCTGGCTGAGAGCTTTGCGATTTGAGCATAGTGTTTCTAAAGCCTGATTATGATTGTTTTTTCTTTCAGAGCTTGAGCGGTGGTGCACCAGCTACTTCGGAGTGTGAGCATCCCAAAATTAAACCCTCCTCATCTGCCAATGCTATCTATTCTTTAGCTGCCAGGTGAGTTGCTTGCTGTCATATATATATAAAGTACTAGTAAAAAAAGTAAATTGTAAATTGTAGATCTTTCTCTATGCTGGTGCTTCGGATAGTTTGACACAATTCTGTCAGTTTCCAGCTTGAAAGGCTTACTAAAATAGGCAAAACCAAGAGAGGAGAGAGAGGAGGGGGGAAAAAAAAAAAAAAAAAAAAAAGGAAAACCAACTGAAACCAACAACTTCAGATCTGGGTGGGGTGAGCATAGTTAACCTAGGCTGTAGGAATAGGAAACAGGCTTGCATATCGTTTCTAAAATATTTGGGGGGTATGTTAGTGGGTAGGATGTGTGCTCAGGTCATGGGAGAGGGCTGCAGGTAGGACACAGCTGTTTTCTGGCCAAATGCACTGAGCAGTTTCCATTAGTTTAGTAAATTCATCTCCAATTAGTTTTTGCTAAATATAGTGTGCATCAGATGAGAGGATGGTATGTCTGATACTAACTTGCTTTTGCATGATGACTCTGTGCTGGTGTGACTTGGCACCTATGCTCCTGAGAATCCTGAAAGCGAGACAGAATCGGTTTTAGAATGACTGACTGCTTGTTACTTCAGCTATGGGTTTGAAAGGCTGCTTTGATGATGATTAGATTTGGCTTAAATGCTTTACTAATTGTTGTATCTTGTTTCTTCTGCCACCAGACCATTGCCTGTACCAAAACTGCCACCTGGGGAACACTCGGAAAGTGACGAGGACACTGAGTACATGTCACCGTCCTCTCTGCCTGTGGTGCCTCCTGGTCCCGCTGTACAAAAACCAGAACTCAAAATGCCCTTGGAAGTGACTCAGAATTTACGGTGAGATTTGTTTGTATCTGCTGTCCTTCCTGTTCGTACCCCGAGGGGAGCACATTTGTTCGCCGGGGTACGGAGGTTTTGCCTGATGACTTCCCTCAGACGGTAACCAGATTTTGTGTGACATAGCAAGCTGTAAATGATATCCAGCTCCTGCTCTTCTGCAGAAACCTTTTATAGCTATGGAAGGAGTCACTTAACCCCTCCCATCTCCTTCTGCTGGTCAGTGTTTGAACAGCAGCGGCAGCCATTGAAATGCAAGATGACACTAAAAGACTCTTCTCTGGAGATCTCAACTTGTTTGAACTATCATCTACATTGCAGTAGGCAATGCTAGATAGAGGCTTCACAGAAGCAAATAGTCTCTTGCAAAACATGGGTGACCTCAATGTAGAGCAGGGATGTGTGCAGAGTCTCAGCACGGTATGCAGGTGATGCTTGACCGCTGTCACTTGTCTAAAGGGAAATGTGCATTCTCTTCCCCAGAGTGTTAGAGTGTGAGCAGCAAGCGGATGGCTGTATGTACGAGGCAATGTACAACATACACTCCCAAGCCGCGTCCTCTGCTTTTCAGACCGTCAACACTTCTGGTGAGTGGGCGTGCTTAAAGAAACAAACCAAAACAACTAAAAGAAATGCTACATGCTCTTGCTGTTAAAATAGTTAGGATGTGTGTAGAAACACATTTGGTTCTGTGTACTGTATTTGGGACCATTGCTGTGAAGCCTAGTTTTCTGGGCTTAGCTGCTGTGAGCAGTTGCAGCAGCCAGCCCATGTGCATCACAGGCATTTTTAATACTGGGGAAGTTGAATTGCTTGCCTTCTAGAAGGACTTTCCTCTCTGTTTGGGGGTTTGGCAGTACAGCCATAGATCTGTCCTGTTCATGTTTTTGGACTACGGGGGAACACTGTCTGCTCCAAGGGACAGAGACTGTGTTCAGTCCTAGAGCTCAGAACATGTCTCTTCATGCAGATGAAGGAAATCTGGCAGCAGGCACCGCCAGCAACGGCCCTGAGGAGTCAGAGAACGAAGAAGATGGCTATGACATCCCCAAGGCGCCGCTACCGGTTGCTATTGCTCGTCGCACGCTGTCTGATATCTCCAATGCCACACCAGCCTTCAGTCGAATGTCTCTGGAAAACGACCCCGTAACAGGTTGGAGAACATCCATGTTATGGTCATTACTGATGTCTTGCTATGGACAGTTGTGATTTCTCTGTCCTTGACTCAGGGTTTTGTATACGGGCTGTATAATACTTTTGCAACACAGAGTTAAAATGCTTTTAACAATCTGGAAAATACTGTTTGGCTCCTGAAAATCGCTGAGTTAGCATATCGCATCTAAATCTGAGTTGGTGGAATCTTGGATTAAAGGGTGTGCCTTAAGGATAGGATTCATTTCGTACTAGAGCATGAAGCAGACCTTCAGATAAGCCTGTTTAATCGGTGTGCGAGTGAAAGCTGAGGCAAGTGGCCCTGTGCTGCTGCTGCTCAGTCTTAGGTGCAGTTTTTGCCAGCAGATGGCACGCGTGCCCTGTTTGATAGTGCCAGTCCTCTTGCGGAGGGACCTAGTGGTGTTCCAAGGTCAGCTTGGAGTCCTGGGAGTAGAGGACATCCTGTCCTTTTGGCTCTGAGGCACGTGCTGCAGGGGAAAGCCAGGGCTTTGTCTGTCTGAGGGCCTTTCTGAAGAATGCTTGTCCTATTCCCTGTAACTGCCTGGTCACTCTGAGGGAAGCACTGAGACTCTTGCCTGGTCGGGGCCTTTCAACATAGCTGAGCTTGGGGCACTGTGCTGAGGAGTGCCCTTCCTCCTCCTCCTGGAGGCAGGCAGCAGCCAGAGCCTGCTGTAGCCAAGACCACTTGCCCGGGTGCTCCAGCAGCAGCTCCTTTTCCCGGAGCTGATCCTTTAGCGCAGAGAGGAGCAAGGGAGTTGATTTGCTCTTGCCACTCCTCCCCGCTCTGCTTTGTCTGCCTGTCATTGTGTCTGTAGAACAGGGCTGGCAGGGATGAAAAGAGGCAGAGAGTGCTCACATCCTGCTCCTGAATGAGCTACTTAGCTTAATCATTGACCCTTGTTTGTTTCTACTGCCCTGAAAGGAGAAGAGAGCTATTGTCCTCCTGCACAGGGTTAGGAGATCTGCTAAAGAGAAATGCTGCGGTAGTAATGATGGTTACTGCTTGCTGGGAAATGTTTGCAGCTTTCTGAAAAGAAGCAAGGCTGGCTACCGGGGGACACACTCTGGTACTACTGTGTTCTCTTCCTTTGTGCCTTAGAATTTAGTTTCTTAGTCAACTACTAAAAAAGCTGTCTAGTAGCTCTTGTTTGAAACCGACCCACGGTCACTGAAATTTGACTCGGTTCAAGCTGCAACAGCAATTTTCAAAGGCAGTCTGGGGGTAGAAAAGGGGGGTAAAAAATTTTGTACCTAATTGTACAAAAGGCTTTTTATGTGTAAGCAGCTTGTAGTTAGAAGATTAGTGAGTTGAACTGCATTGTGGTTGGTGAGGAAGCTTCAATGAATTTGTTTTCTGAAGAGGTTTTGCCGTTTTAGTCATTTTGGTGCAAGCTTTTCAGAAAGATTCGCAGATGACTTATTTGTTTTTCTGACTGGAGCTGCGGTGCCCGCTCTCAGAAAGGGATCACTCGGACATCTCTAGTTTTAGGGATGCACACTACTATCTTGCACACTACTGCAATGGCTAGAAAATTCTGTATGTCGCACTCAGAGGAGGTTTCCCAGAAGACAAATAAACCCTTCTGTAAGAACACGACAAATATTTGTGCAAAAAGAATCTGTTGTGATTTCAAATGAGAAGAAGAAAAACCTACGATGATATAGGAGGTAAAGACTAAAAGGAGTTGGGAGACATAGCCTTAGGAAATGGTAGGGCTTCTGGAGCAGTGAGTTTTCTTTCCAAGGTGTTCGTTGAAACTCTAGAGTGTTTAGTGTCTGGTTTGGCTTCTTAGTGATCTTTTTATCTCCTTGGAAGGAGGGCATGGTGTGGCCATGGGCAAGTTACACAGAAAGATAAAGAGGAAAGGCAGAAGAGGCTGGGAACTGCTCTCCCATAGCTGCCAGCCATTTCGGGAGGATGAGCCTGGTGTGCTGGTGGGCCAGCAGAGGAAGAGAAGCAGATCCTTGTGGAAACATAATTCAGTTGCTACAGAGATCCTGATAAGGGAATTGTAACAAACAGGCTTGGTGTGTCTCTGTGCTGCCCTACCACACTACTGTGTCATCATTGGTTGTTTGTGGAAAGAGCAGCAACTGGTCAATTTAAACTCTCTGAAACTCTCTGATTTTAGAAGGAGTATTTTGTCAAGACTTACACCTATATGTATGCCTTCGTGTCATTTTTCTAGCAGCAGATGTCAATGAAAGTTTCTATGAGCCCTGCTCGCACACATGCCTATGTTTCTGCCTAAATAGTAATTTATTTTGATGGCAATGATAAATTTGAATAAGATAAGCCTGATGGGGCCCTTTTTTTTTTTTTTTTTTTTCCTGGCCATTTTTTTCTATACTAGAGGAGAAGGCAGGCCATCGGCACTACTGTGTGGGAGGATTGGCTGTTTGGAGAGGGTACGATAACATGAAGGGGCATGCTTTGGAAGTCCTAGCAGTCACTTGAAAACTGTGCCTGCTTTGATCTGGGCAAGAGTCACATGCCCTTTTCTGATGTAATGCATTTGTTTGTCCTTCCAGGTTTTTCGGATGTCTCTCAAGTTCCAGAAAGGCCGCCAAAGCCTCTGCCACGGAGAATAAATTCTGAGCGGAAAGTAGGGAGCTGCCAGCCCGGCGGAGCCAGCAGTGGCGGGACCAGCGGGTCACTGCATCTCTCCAGCGAGATTGAGAACCTCATGAGCCAAGGCTACTCATATCAGGACATTCAGAAAGCACTGCTCATTGCACATAACAATATTGAAATGGCCAAGAATATTCTCCGGGAGTTTGTTTCCATTTCGTCCCCTGCACACGTGGCCACATAGCACATAACCTGCCCACCTAGAACTTCCTTGGACCAACTGCCTGGGCAGCCGTAGCCCAGCTCCGCGCCAAAGGGGAAGGGGTTCCTTTAGAGACTTCATGCTGAAGTCAGCCCTGCCTCTTAAGAGAATCAGTTGTCAGGTTTTTGTGGTTACAGATTTCAAAGCAGTGAAACGAAATGGAGCAGATCGGTGTTTTATACAGTGTGTGTCTTGGAGTCCTTTACCCCTACCTCTTGTTTGCAAGAGCCAATTTATTTCCAGGGTATCAGTGGAGAAAAGTGTCACAAGGAGTGAATCCCTTGGAGGCTGGGGGGGCCTGTTTTGTGCTCTGAATTCTAAGTGACTACTCTGGAAAAAAAGTCTCCAGGTTGTATGGTGTGTCCTGTGGTTCGTGGTACTAGGTTTGGACCTGTTTGCTGCTGTGTGTTTGGCTCAGGCTTTTTAGGGCAGTTGAGAGGCGACTTTCTGCTGGGAATAAACGGGAAACTTGGAAAAAAATCTTTTTGATTGATGCCAGTTTGCCATGGCTTTGCCTCTTGCCCGTAATAATAGTTATTGCTTATAAGGCCTCCCTTTTTGCCTGATGAGAGTGTAACTAGCTTCTCTCAGGTATTTTGATCTTGGAAGTGCTGGAAGTTCGATTTCTCTCAGTGTGTCCTCTTGCTGGCAGGGCTGGCAGCATGGGATTCCAGGGAGCTAGATACACTGAAAGCTGTGCGTGTTATTAACGGGTGGGGGGAGAGGGCAGGAAGAATTAGAATGAGAGCAAAGAACTGGCTGCTGCTGATCCTTACAGCCTTGTGAGTTTTGTGCTCAGACTTGATTGTGGCCTTGCTGGACTTGAGCAGCTGTTGCTGGACACTCCCACCCATGCACTATTTCTCTAGGAATGTTGCATCTGGTAAATATGATATTTTATTTATATTGAGTGCACGGTGGCTCTTGCAGACTGGTGGCCTTCACGTGCATTCCATCACCTCGGTTAGAGAGCTTTTGTGGGGAGCAAGTTGTCTTTGCGCCAGGTGGTTTTGTGAAATTGGTAGATGCAGCTGATGCAATTATTGGTATGTTATCTGCTTCGCAGTTTAAAAAAAAAAAAAAAAAAAAAAGAGGCAAGACTTATCTGCATGGCTATCCAAACAACGTGAACGACATGGAGGCTGCTCTTTGTGTTTCCAATACTCCATAAAATTGCCAGAGCCTGTGTAAAAACTGATCTGGGGAAAATCTCCATTGATAGAAGAATCACGCTGGACTTAAGTCAGTGCTCAACTGCTACTTGGACAAAAACCGACTTGTATATTTGGCTACTTACTCGGTTCTTATATCCTTGATATGCCAGAAGTGTGTGTCTCCCTTTGAGAGGATTTAAATTGAGCAGGGATGCATAGATCACTGCCTGACAGATGGACAGTGTTCTGTATATACCGAGGGGCTGATAGCTTTTCCAAGTGTCTTGTGGATGATTTGCAGGTCTCTACAGCCAGCAGTAGCGGCTGGGCGAAGGGTTGCAACTGGAAATACTTGGTGGAGTGCTTGTGGCATTTGGGGCGAGTTTGGTCTTGTAACGACTCAAGCAGCCTGCCCTGGATCTCAGATAAACAGCTTGCATTTGGCAGAGAGGACTTAAATTGTTAGCTAAGGGAACAAAGCGTAAATTGTTCATTTTATGTAGATTACAAGTTTCACTGTAAACTGGCAGCCCTCTGAATTGATGCAGTGGGATTCAGATGGTTTGAAAGCAGGACCTAGCTGTCCTCATGCCCTCCCTCTGTGGTGTAGAAAATGTTGTCCAAAACTGTAAGGAGAGCTGCTTTCTTAGGTGCAGTACGTGCACGACAGCAGCACTGATTGCTGCTATTTTAGGGCCAGCACGCTGTGACATTTTTGTTGTTTGGCAAGGCTCTCTGCAGCAAAGTGAGGTCACACACACACACAGCTCAATATTGGGGCTGCTCTTGCTGGAAGGTGTTGAATTTCACAGAAGGTGAAGTTAGTGTGTATCACAGCATGAGAAAAAAGAGCTATTGGTATTTTCCTCTACCCATGCACACAGAAGCCAGCAGTATGGAGAACCGGTCCTGCTGTTTGTGTGAAATGGGGAGCATGCCGCCAGGAATGCGGGCAGCCTTGGTCAGCCTGGCAGGGGAGTTGGGGAGAGGCACGACTGGTGCTGCGGCTGCAGCTCTGGTTGTTCTCCTAGCACATCTCAGTATTACGGTTGTGAGTCTGGCCAAACTCTTAGTGTCTTGTTGTCTTACGGTGGAGAAGAGGTAGCACCTTCTGGAGGGGACACTGCTGTATTACTTTTCTCTTTTTGTATCCCCTCTGTTTGTGCCACCAGCTCCGTGTAAGTTTTAGTGCCACTTGGGCTGTGACTTGCAGTTTAAAGTCAGTGCGAGTGTGTTGAAATGGGGTGTGTGGTGGTGGTTTTCACCTGGGCAGGGGTGCTACTTCCAGGACTAAGGCAGGAGGGAGAGCCAAGCTCAAGCGGCTAAGAAGCCTTAACTGAACTCTTGTACTGCCACAATGCGTTGTGGAGTAAGTAATGGTGCGCAGTGCCATGTGAGCTCATTCATATAGCCTTGTTTTAGTGCTATATTGAACCATGCCTAGCAGAGCTTTTGCAGCCCTGCCTTTGGGATTCATGGGGCAAGGGCAAGTTGCAGGCTAGCGATTAGGGAGCAGTCTTTGTGGCATGTATTTCTGATGTTTTTCTGCATGTGTGCTTTCCATGTGCTGCTTGTGTCTCAAATGAATCAGAGACTGAAAGCTCACTTTTTCCTCCCTGGACTTGGGGTTCTTTGAAGGCATCACTGAAGGCAGCGGAGTCGTCACTGTGTCTTCTGGCTATGCTCTGTGAAGTCATTCAGGCACTTTACAGTGTGTTTTCTGTGTTGTTTGCCTCTTGAAAAGGTGAGCCCAAGAGTTATTGCCCTGTTTTAATTTTATTTTTTCCCTTCCCTTGATCACCATGGAGTTGATTCTGAAAAAGTTATGTTGTTTGTAATTTTCTTTTCATAAAGAATAAAACATTGTCCCACTGTCTAGACTCTTGTTTTTTAACTGAACGCTGCTCCTCTCACTTGCCAATGCAAATTATGGAGAAGATGAAGAAGGGGCTGGAGAGAGGATGTGCCCCTGACTGTACGGCTGCTGTTAAAAAGGCAAAGAACATGGAGAACTGTGTGGTACAGCATTCCTGGTCTCCGGGGTGCGAGGAAAGACACAGCTTCTGTGTGCGGCAAGGCCAGTGATGGGAAGAGAGAAGAGAAGCAGAAGTGCAGAAGAGAGAAATAAAGTAACAAACCATAAATAAAGTAACTTAAGAAAACAAGTAACGAACACTACTGTCCCCTCACGCCTCTGTTCCTACTCTCCAGAAAAAAAAGTCATAACTCCTGCTCACACAGTCCCCTGGTCACCACTGGAAAAATTAAAATAAAAGGAAAAAAATCTTGAAGAAAGATTAAAGCAAAGTGTATTCCCTTTGCACCAAGCACCAACACAGTTGTTGTACAAAGCAAACACAGACACAACTACTGTTGTAGGGGTGAGGAAAAATGCTGTTTTTCCCTACTTCCCCGTATTGCACCAATACCCAGTATTGCACAAGCACTAAATAATGAGCAGAGGGAAAATGGATTAAAATAAAGAGGGGAGGGGGGTCTTGCTCTGTGGAAAAAAGAACCCCACCCCACTGAAAAAACCCCACTGAAAGTATAAAAGGAATGATACATACAGTGCACAACACAGGTTAAAAATATGAAAGGAGCAATGCATACAGTGCAGAGCACAAGTTAGGAGTATAAAAGGAGGAACAGATGCAGTGTAGAGCACAGGTTAAGATTCTTTTATATATATATATATAAAATTATATATAATACATATTTCATTATATATTTAATATTTCATATATATATATGAAATTTAATGTCAATAGATATAGATAGCTTGTTTCCCTGTCTGCCTGCTATTTGTGTAAGTATTCCTATGTTTTGATTAGGTATGTTTTGGTGTGTAATTAAAAACTGGGAGTGTGTTGGTGTTTTGCAGGTCTGGACTGAAAAGGCACAGGAGCGAAAAAGGCAAGTCTGGTCAGGAGCTTTCTTTCTTTCTTTCTTTCTTTCTTTCTTTCTTTCTTTCTTTCTTTCTTTCTTTCTTTCTTTCTTTCTTTCTTTCTTTCTTTCTTTCTTTCTT